AACACAGAGGTTCTATGTGCCAAGGGAGTTGTGTCACCCTCCCAAGAGCCGATGTTTTCACCAATCAGGAAGCTAATGGCTAATGGAGGTTTGGTGTTGAGAGTTTTTAATCAGGTTTTTTGTTTTTGCTTTTGATTACATAATGCAAACTCCAGCCCTCCTCTCCTGAGGTCAGTTGATATCATAAGATGATCACGAGGTAGGGCTCTCTGGCCTGGCCACCATGAGGTGATTGTCACGAGGTACCTCTAGGTCAGTTGATATCACAAGGTGATCTCAAGACATCCTGAGGTAAAGCCCTTGGCCTGACCACCATGAAGTAATCATCACGAGGTAGGTCCCTCAGGCCTGGCCAGTCCCTGAGTTGCCTCACTGGCATAACCTGTTGGGTCTGGAGTCCTTATCAAAATGCCAAGGTTCCAAGTGTCACTTCTCAGGAACCTAGGGCAAAGGCCAAATCATTTTAGGTAAAGCTATATTCTTTACCATATGTACATCTTAAATAAAGATGTGAAATTTAAAAATTTGTCTCTTAGTTATACCCTAAAGTGTTATAGTCAATGGCATATAGTAATGCCTAAAGGTCCAACAACATACTTTTGTAGTCCTTTAGATACTTCCTATTATGTCTTAGTACCTGAAAACATTACCTCCTACTTCATTTTAGAAATGCTGAGCATAAATTGTAATAAAGTATTAGAAGCAGCTTTAAGAGTTAATGTGTAAAATATTAAAGGTTAATTTGTAAAATATTACAAAAGGTATATTAGGATTTTTTTAATTACCATTTTTAATATTAAGTGTGCAGCATGAATGATACAATGGGAAGAACATGAGACTTAGAGTAAAGAAAATCTAGATTGATGTCCGTTTGTCATCTGATTTGTCTTGGGTCACTTCTCTAAGTCTCAGTTTCCTCTATTGTCAACTGGTACTGATAGTAACTACTCTGAAGGATTATTGAGGGGAATAAATGATATTTAATAGTATATATAATTGCTTTGTAAATTGTAGGGCATTATAGTAATGTTAGTTGTTACTTTTATTATTATAAGACCAACCTGTAGACCCTTCCCACTGTAGGCCATACTTTTGTCATTTGACTGCTCAAGGAGGCATGTCCTTTAAAATTGATTTAAAATAAGGCAAAATTTAGCTAGATACAGTTAAGAAAATCTTTCCCTTTTCTAATTTTCTGACCATTCTAGGACACAGATTTCCAGCCTAATTAGAATCTTTTCCTGTTAAAACAGGGCAACATACTTCCTTTTGATTTTACTTAGAATGCATTCTTTCTATTCTTGATTATCATGAAAATGTTGCTAATTCTCCAAATATATTTAACATTGTATGGTGATGGTAGCAACTCAGACTTTTCTCTACAACATTACTCTATCCATGACAGCCCTAAAAAGAATCTGCATTTAAAAAAGTAATATTGTCCTCATAATTAGGAATTAGTTTATAAATATGTAATATTCACATAAATCTACTTTTCTTTCACAGCAATTAATGATCACTCTAAAGATGAATTCTGCCTTGCAACCAATAAGGTCACTTGTGACCCCTCAGAGACTAGCTCAACAACAAATTGCAGCAGTGTTACAGTGAGCTTATCAACAGTACCATCTGATTCCTATTATAGCCAAAGTATAGAAGCAGCTGATGACTGGTTTTCTGATGGTTCTCTAGAGAAAAAGAACTCTCAAATGCCTTTTCATGGGGAACCTCTAATGGAAAAAGTATTTTCATACTTGTCAACCATTTCATTAGAAGAATGTACTGAAAATGCACTGAATATGACACTTTTTGATGATCAAAAAGATGACCGCATTAAGGAAACATTTTCACAAAGAAATACAGAGGTTGAAATACAAAACCTTCAATGTAATATTGAATGACCTTCTTCTTTTGAAACCTTGTACATACTGAAATCAGGTAAAGTTAAAACTGAATTACCAGCTTCTGAGTCTCTTAACATGTCCACACTACTATTGTTTTTTTATTCTTTTCCATAGGGTGGTCCTACTTCCCTTGCTAGTTCTTATTTCTAGAGACAGAATTATATATAGGAAAAGCTAAAGTTATATCATTGGCATTAATCTTTAACACATTGTATCTCATCAAAGGGCATAATAAGTAACAGGATTGTATTTCAACATACAGTAGAAATATTTTAAGAAATCCTCAGCACAAATATATTCTTTAATAAAACAGTCACAGCATATATTTATACTTTTGACATTTTCGGTTTTATCTTAGTGTGAGTGGGGTAGGGAAATTACCAGCTTTTCTAAATTTTAGATACATAAATCATCTGCTATTCAAATCTCACATCATGTTTTGGTAAGCAATGTAATGTTCCTACATGTGACTGTGTAGAATCCAAAAAATAATTATCTTTCCCTTCTCCCATCCCTATTTCTTATAATCAACCCTAACTCCCAACCCACTATGATGAGAATGGGAGCAGCTATGTTCATAGGTATCTGGTTCAAGCTAGATGAATCAGTTTCTCTCCAGTCCAAGAGACCATTGATCAAATTTCTATTTTGGGTCTGAGGGCTTTCTGACACCTATCATGTAATTAATCTTTTAATTTTTTTTTCCATTTCACCAAAAAAAAAAAAAAAAACCTCCATGTTATTAATCCTTTTTCTTTTCTTTCTATTGGGAAAAACAATTCACAAAGTATAATGTTATCTTTTGTGCTTAAATTACTCACACCAAGACCTTTCCATACCTTCTCAAGAGATAAATTATACCTATAATAATAAATGGGAGTTCTGGTAGCGTAGTGCCTAAGGCATCTGACTGCTAACCAGAAGGCTGGTGGTTCAAACCCACCAGCCACTCCTCAGAAGGAAGGTTGGGCAATCTACTTCCATAGTGATACTGCCTCGGGAACCTAAGAAGGGGTTGCTATGAGTCAGGTCTGATTCGATGGCACATAACAACAACATTATAATAAATGAAAAGAACCAAAAAACAGAACAAACTATTGGCATCAAGTTGATTCCAACTCATGGTGAGCCATGGGTTGCAAAGTCGCACTGTACTTCACAGGGTTTTAAGACCTGTCAGAAACAGATCACCAGGCCTTTTTTTCCAAGGGGCTTCTGGGTGGTTTGAACTGAGAACCTTTCCATTAGTAGTGGTGTGCTGAACCATTTGTATCACCCAGGGACTCCTAAATGAAAGGAAATATGGCTCAAATGAGATAAAGAGTTCATCCAGACCCATCATTTCTGTCCCATGGGAAAGATTAAAAGAGATTAGAATATTTTTCTCTTTTGAAGATTGATGTGGTCATTCCCATACAGTGCACTTATTGATTCTGAGCACACTCCTCTGTACCCATCCCTAAGCTATTCTTTTAGCTGAAAGTCTATATAGAACAGTAAAAGCAAAAATTTAAATTGGCTTCGTGGTGTCCTGCAATTTCTTCTTACTGCCTATCCCAGAGAAAAGTCCCTCTAATTTGGTGAGTTCATAAAAATTCCCTAAGAATTTAAAGTTGGAGATAAGAGATCTGGCCTTGCCTCACTAGTCTCTGGAATAAGGAAAATAAAAGCTGGGGGTCTGTGGGCAGCCATGTTCCATCTAGTGGCTTGGGAAGAAATGAAACAACGTATCTGCAGTAAAAGAGCAATGAAGCATTTACAAAGGGAAAAGCAGAGATGAACAGGAGAGCGTGAGTCTTGGCTTTCTAACAGTCCTCCATTCTCTTGATCCAGCCCTTCATGCAGCATGGCTATAACCCCTGCCCTTGCCTGGTAAGGTACCCTTGTATCCTAATTATAAATTCTCCTTTTTGCTCAAGCTAGTAATAATTGATTTCTATTACTGGCCACCACCCCTGAGGCCTGGCTTTAACTGTTGTTCTTGGCTTTGGAAATGTACCCTTGTAACTTTATAATAAATTCTCCTTTTTGCATAAACTAAAGTTTATTTATGTTACTATAATCAAAGTGTCTTAACCAAATTCTTGTCCATATTACAAATGAAATTTGTGCATATAAAGTATAAAAAAGGACCTCTGGTGGCATAGTGGGTAAGGCATTTGGCTGCTAACCAGAAGGTCAGTGGTTCAAATCCATCAGCTATTTTGCAAGAGGAAGATGAGGCACTCTACTTTAGTAAAGGTTTATAGCAGTGGAAACGCAAAGGAGGGTGCTAGGGGTAGGAATTGACTCAATGGCAGTGGGTTTCGTTTTTGGTTTTAATGATATAATACATTCAATTTATTTCTTTAAAAACTAATACATTTATTTGTTTATTAAAATGGTACTCCATATCATAGGTGTGCATAGTTCTCTTTGAAAAGGCCAGTGAGCAACACTTATGAAATTATTATACACCATTCTAAAGTAATCTTATGTTCAAGAACTGTGAAGGATCTGAGATTTCATTCTACATGCAGCCTCACAAGTTAGCCTGCAACAGTTTCATGGATACTTCAAGAAGACGTGAAACTCTTGGATCATAACCCAAGGACAGTGTATTATTCATAGCAATAGTAGTATCCAGAGTATTATTAATTTTATGTCAGTTTCCTGAGTCCTGGCTCCCATAGGGCAGTATGAAGAAGGCCAGATAATACCTGCGGACCTAGTGGGTTGCATTACAGGAAAGGGACCCTGAGTTTAGGGAACTAAAGTGAACAGTAAGTATATCTTCCCTTTGCTGCAGAAGGAAACATTGTCTTTATTATGCTGTCTAATAAGTATGGCTACTCTTTGCTCCAGAAGGAAGCACTCTATCTTCCATGCTATCTGTTATATAAACATCCCTGAAAGATAGTTTGGAACATAGGCAGTATGTATCTTTGCTCGCAAGACATACAGAAACACAAATGAGCCATGAAGAATTGTCTCCAAAAGCTTATAAACTGAAAATATATTGTGTGGTCATTTATGTGGCAAATAGTTTCATTGTAGTCATTATTCAACCACAAATTAACATTGCCATCAGGTATCAGCTACAGTTTTCTTAATTGCAAATTTTTGAAAGCCAACGCAAATTACTGCAGGAAACAGTATTTTGTTTCTCACGTGGAACCCAAATAATGGTTGAACAACTAAATAGAAGCACAGGCTGTAATTGGGTCTCAGGACTAGCTAGAACAAAGGCTCAAATTCCATTAGGACTTTCTCTATTTGTACTGGTCAAGGTTTTTAACAGGGAAGAAGAACCAATATCATGTATAAGATAAGGGATTTATTATAGGATTTATATCTTACACAATTTTAAGAGGAGCTGGGGAAGTGAAGGTTCAGGAGAGGAGTTGGAAAGTCAGAGGAGTCACCATGGTAAGACTGGGGTTAGAAGGCTTGTGGGGATATCTATGGGAAGTTGTGCCTCTATGTAGCCACTGTCTTTGAGGGTGTGCTGCCAAGTATCTGGTGGTTTATCATTGTTTGTCAACAGGGTCAGGAGTTGGGAAGAAGAGCAAGACCTTAAAAAGAAGAGCTAGACACAATGCAGAGGAAAGTGAGGAGAAGATGGAAGCCACTGTCCTCTCTTCAGCCTGTTGGTTACACATCTAAGCATGACAACCTTCACAGAGTAATGATCTCTGCTTAAATTCTACCTTCCAAATATTGCACAAATTCCTGTGTTTTCCTGGAACCATACACAGAAAAGGATTCTGAAGAACAAGCTCTAGCTTAATAAAGTTAATATAGTACAAACCACCATAGTCCAACAACATCAATTTGGCATTTATTTACACGTTAACCATATTTAATCTCCACTTAAAAATAGCAAAATAATGGTTCCAACATACATGCTGCAGTATCCCTCCTAAAATAAGAAAATGTACCAGCTGTCCCCTTTAAAGGTGATAACAAAGTATCCATCTTTGGATGAGGCCTCCCTTCTAGTGAGTCACAGATCTCCATTTCTTCTGTAACTTAAAGAATGAGATATAAGATTCACCACTATTAACAGATGTTAGGAAGTAGGAGAATGAGATAGCAGAAGAAAAGAAAAATAACTGGTTAATCTATACACAAATATATTCCTTTCAAAGTAAGACTGAAATGCCCAGAACTGCTATCCTCCTTAAAAACCTCCAGTGGTATAGTGGTTAAGGCATTTGGCTGCTAACCAAGAGGTTCAAATTTCACCAGCTGCTCTGAGGAAGAAAGATGAGGCAATCTGTTTCCATGAAGATTTACAGCCTTGGAAACCCAATGGGGGTCTGTATGATACCTTATTTTTATAACTTGTCACATAATCATAACTGAAGAAGCAAAAAATTTATTATGGATTATTATGAGTAATAGTGAGAGTTGTTGTTGTTATATGCCATGGAGTCAGATCTGACTCATAGCAACCCCTCCTTGAGTTACCAGGGCATATCACTATGGAAGTAGATTGCCCCATCTTCCTTCCAAGGAGTGGCTGGTGGGTTTGAACCACCAGCCTTCTGGTTAGCAGTCAAGTGACTTAGGCACTACGCTACCAGAGCTCCCGTAGTGAGAGTGTTGTTGTTGTTGTTATGTGCCGTTGAGTGGGACCCGACTCACAGCGACCCCTCCTTGGGTTTCCGAGGCAGTTATCACTATGGAAGTAGATTGCTCCATCTTCCTTCTGAGGAGTGGCTGGTGGGTGTGAACCACCAGCCTTCTGGTTACCAGTCAAGTGCCTTAGGAACTACTCTACCACAGCTCCTGTAGTGAGAGTAGTCACTGCCATTTTTACCCCTTACTTCTTGGACCCCTGAATCCTGAGTATAGGATGTTGTTGTTGTTGTTAGGTGCCGTTGAGTCTTCTCCAACTCATAGCGACCCTATGCACAGCAGAACAAAACACCACCCAATCCTGAGCCGGCTCCATGATTCTTGCTATACTGGAGCCCATTGCCAGTGCCACCATGTCAATCCATCTCATTGAG